TCTCACGTTTGAAGACAATGAATTTTAATGGTGTCACTTATTCGCCTACCTAATGCACAACTGCTGGATCGCAAAATTAGCTATTAAGCAAGAGAATTAAATCAGATTTTAGGATATAAGCGTGTTGCAAAGATTAAAAAAAAAAAAAACCAATATTTTTAGCTTTTTTTAAAGCACTGATATCCAGAAAAGAGCCTCAGTAGAACCAAATTATTTTTTCCTCTGAATAACTGGGAAGAGGGGGAGGGGGAAAGATAGACAGTAGAAGGAGGAGGAGAAGTAAAGGCGAAGTTCGAAAGGGCATCCGTCTATTTGACGACTGTGAAATTCTTACTTTCAGATAAAAAATTTGCAGCAGTTTTCAAAATTTCCTCTTATTGTTATTAACTTTTTATTGTCATCACCAAGAATCGCTAACAAAATAAAAAAAAAGAGTAACTTCTCTACCATCCTTTCCCACCAAATACTATAGAAAAACAAAATTCCGTCAAGGCCACCGAAGAAATTTGGGAGGCTATAATTTTGTACTTATAATTTCACTCTTTTTACATATCTACATTTATAAATTCAGCTTTTTCCGTTCCTAACTGCGTCATCGCAGAACTTCAGTTTTTTTAAGCGAAAAAAGAATCGATGCATGGACATGCAGAAGTGGAAAAGCATTCAAATAGAGCGCCATCGAACGAGCATCATGAAGAGAGCCGAGAAATTATTCCATACCAGTCGTTACCGGGTTTATCGGAAAAACCCTCAGGTCCGATTTTATTGGCTTTTTTTTTAGGCGCCCCAAGCGACTGAGGCGAATTTCCGTGAAAAATCTGTCAGGTATAGTTTGGCAACCGGGATGTGCCACCTTCATAATGCATTTACTGGAGATTTTGGTACATATTTACTTCCTTTGCTAAATAGATGTAGCTGCCAGCTTTTCCTAAGTTAAGGCCATCTATCTGCGATTTTGCTGCGGGTACGTATACATAACTCAGGGTGATTATTTGTATTTCGCTAGAAAATAAGACTCCAAAGGAAATTACTTGTATTTCGTTAGAAAAAAAGTTTGTGCTAATTGTTCATCCATCTTCTTTGCATCTTTTTATTTATCGTCGACCTTGTTAGTCAGTTCGCAGAGAAGGGAATTAGGTCTTTTAATCTCTAGCACCAAGAAATTTCCATTACACAGAATGTTTTCCAAAACGATCTATTTTACCATTTTGGCATAAACATCCAAAATAGAAAGCAAAGTGAAGAACATCAGTGCGGTTGTGTCGGGTTGGAAACAGGGCACGTAACACATTCGATACTTGCAGAAAAAGTTGAGTTAGTTGGATAGAAAATTTGCTTACTAATTTGTCATGATCGCTCGGTTAGCCAATATGGGGATTTAAGCTAGTGCTGCTAATGCATGCATTCACATGCCAAGGAAGCTGTATCGGGATCTTCAGCGCTGAATAGCTTGTCTCTGCATAGAAATAAAGTGACGAGTTTAGAATCGGAAAAAAGCGATTCCAAGAAGGCAGAAGATTCCGGATCGATTCATGATGTCGAAGATATTGCTTTAAGTTGTGCAGCAGCAAGCGAAAAGGTACGAAAATTCACTATTTTGACTTTTTCTTTTCAATTTTGCACAGCTGCCACAACTAAAGCATCACAGCTGTTTTACTACGTGTGTTTCTGATGGACAGTGACGAACAAATTTGATGGTCTTGTGACTTTTAGGTGCAACCATGTAGCACCCATGCTCGATGCATTGATTATAATCCAGGCTATTGCTGTGAATGTTTGCCGGGCTACTATGGTAATGGAGAGGAATGTTTGAAAGATGGTTAGTTACATCTAGCTCTTGTTTTCTAAAAGGCATTCATGCTACTGATGCTGACGGAAATTTCATGAACTAAGCATTGCAAAAAACGAAAAAACGTCGTTTCATTGAGAAAGTAGCGCTTAATCTGGTTTGATTAGCCATTTAAATGAAATACTCAGCAGTTTTGTCAAATCGGCTGCCCATGAAAATCGGCTTCAGAGCGAAAAGTGTAAAGAATTTTCGTAAAGGATTGAAAATTTGGCACAACAACGCCTTCAAACAGTCGGTCCAGGACTATTTGTTTTAATCTCGCAGAATTATCCACACTGCATCTAGCAAATTGGACAGTGGAAAAGTAACAGTTCAACTGTGCAGTTTTTAGGCGAACCCCAGCGAATTAATGGTGGATTTGAGGGCGTAATAAATGGTGAAGCGATGCAGCGGACTGAGCTTCACACCTATGTGGTAGTGGAAGAGGGACGAAGTTACACGGCGCTCTCACAAATTCCCGCTCATCTCGGACGATCGTTATTACTGCTGAATTCAATTGGCGGCGCTATGGGCTGGTTATTCGCTAAGGTTTTTAAAAACAAATAATGTTGGTCGAAGCTTTCGTCAAGGGTCTTTCCGAGCCAAAAAGTTTTCCATAAAATTAAAATTAGATTGCCATGATTTGCGGAAATTTTTCCTGAGCAATTTAAGAACAGAAAAACGCTTTAACACTTTACCGGCAAATTTTCCGCATAAAAGTGCTGGACAAATTGTGTAAAAGTTTCAGGTAATGACACCAACATC